CCCCCAAGCGCCTGGATTTTGACTTGTGCGTAGGTGGATTCTAGCTGATTATCGAAGACACGCCTTGATTTTTTTGCTTACTTATGCAGCCGTGATTACCCCTGTCCTGCACGCAAATGAGCAGGTTTTGCAACCTTCTAGAATGTTAGACCATGGAACAAATCCCTCCACAATTCTACTTTATTGTCTGAAATTTCTCTCCCACGTCTCTTTTTAGTCCCCGTAGCACTGTCAGCCATCTGGAGACTCGGTTAGTCAGTGAACGAGCCACAAGGCCTGTTTGTGCATGTGGTTCATTACAGCCTTACCGATGAGACATTCCTTACCTGTGAAGGGCACACAACTCGGGGTTCTGCGGTTACCGTAGTCTTTGGCTATGAAAACACTGACAATGGAGAAGGTTGTTTCCAAGTCAACGCTCATAGCTGGAAATATTGACATGGCATCGTGTAGTGCACAAATGCCGATGCGTAATGTCGAATAATGGTGACCACCACGATTGCTGCAACCCTTTAAATCAAATGCAACTGATCATGTCTAACATATTTACGATGAGCGCTACCTGCTAGAATTAAATCATACAGGCAGGAACTGCCAGTGTTTTATACTAGCGACTGCGCACTTGAAAGAGATGATGGACAATGTAGGCTCGGCTCACACACGCCTGTAGGAGAGCGGAGTCGTGAGCAGTGCTGTCATCTCCGTATTGACGTGTTGGTGGCAGAAATACTGCAGTGCAGTAGTCGCAACATATCGACGCATGACTAATAATACCTTGATGGCTGATAGGCCTACCCAATGCGGCAGGAACTTATTGCCATAACTAATCTGATTAGATGAGGTGGAATTGGATCAGTGTACTTCTCTTTTTAGCCCCCACAGCATCGTCAGACATCTGGAGACTCGGTTAGTCAGTAGACAAACCAGCAGGCCTGTTTGTGCACGTGGCGCTCATCAGTGCGCATGCGTACAAGCTAGCAGATGGCAAAGGACGAGAAGCACTCGGCATTCTGTGCACAGTCATGTGCCTGCACGATGTGGGAAAAGAATGGCTACTGCCCCAGCAATGCGCCGCACCTGTGTGGATATGTACGATAAGCCAACAATATACTCTTTGTCACTACTCGGAATAGCCGTGACACACCTACTCACGAAGACGTTCTAAGAAGAAACCCCATACAATTTTTGTGCTTCTGGTGGCCAGATAATATCTAGGTCAAATTAATTTAACACTTTATTACCTTCAAAATTTTGTATCCATCATGCCCTATCTAAATTTCTCAACACAATTGAATCAAGTTTATCCCATTTGGGGCATTGAAATATTTCTATTTATTTGGCTTGATTTACAGATTTTAATGCAAACAGTATGTATGACAGGGTATTACAAGCATAAAGGTATATGGATCTAATGAAGCTACCTCCCTTGCAATATGGAATGCAAAACTCACAACACAGGGCTCGTTTACCGTTGAGACAACAGCCTAAACAACCGAAATGCAGAAAGGCATGTTGCGATTTGCCAAGGTATTGCTTTGGAGGATTAACCCGCTGAGCTCAG